TTCAATGATACTGCTCAATTATTTATTGAATTCAAACAAAAAAATTTCAATACAATGTCAATCCAATTGAAAAGAATATTTTCAAAACTTTCAATAATTGACAAATGAAGGCTTAAATGAATGAAACTACGACGTGGTGCAATCATAATAGCTCGATACTAAATTCGTGGAAATACAAATATGCTCCATAATATTTTTTCGTAAATTTTTCGCGGTTTTCAATTCTCACCTTTTAAACCTTCCCTGAAGCTCCACGAACATTTTAAGACTAAAATATGAAACATCCGTTCAGCCGTTCTCGAGTTTTAGCGAGACTAACGAACAGCAATTCATTTTTATATATATAGAAGAAGAAGATAGATAGAAGATTTATAAAGATTCTCACAAAAATATTAAAAATATTAATATGGCGAATATTTCGGTATGTACCGACTATAGGGTGCAAATTAGAAATATACCCTAGATAGGTATGCGAGTATATATGCTAATTATATATTTTTATTTCCAAAAAATAACCCGAAATCAAATGACAATTTGTCAAAAAATTATTAATTGATACGATAATTTACTAGTGAAAACTGCTTATTAATTGGCGAAAGTAGGGTGAATTTGTATAAAAGTCCAAAAGACTACTACGCACTAACAAAAATAATTTATTGTTTTTTTTAAAATATTCCAAAAAAATATTATTGGAAAATCATAATTTTTTCACACGGTCCCACTGTGCGTTGCTGAATACCGCATACCGCACAAAAGGGAATAAAACACAAGCAGCGTTGGGAGAGCGACTATCACAATACAAACAAACCAACACCAACGAACCAACAGTGATAGGTGGAGAGAATAATAAATTGTTGGTACGTTTGTTGTTGGTGATATTTAAATTGAGTGGACTGTAAAATGTTTAATATCAAGAAATAGACGAAGGCGACCAGTACCGCGAAATATTTAAACAAAAACAATTTTTCACTGCGGTATTTTTTCCCTTTTTTAAGCTCACAATAAAAACACTGAACTTACGTACCTTGTTTTTGTTGAGTGTTGATGAGTAGGTGATGAAGGTGATTAATGCGGTGGATGACGGTACACTGATAAAAAAATTGAGTATTCCGTACTTAAATGAAGCCGGAGCGGTGTCAAAAGTACGGTAAGTGCGGGTTTTCTTATACCAAGATGAAAAAACTTGATTTAAGTACGGTTTCTTCTAGTGCGGATTTCTTAATTTTAGCACCATTTGTGCCGGATTGTGCTTGCTTTAAGCTCAGAAGAGTCTTGATTTAAGAAAACTGGAATTGATTTAAGTTAATTTTAGTTTCGATCTAAGTACGAAATATACTTGGTAAAAGATCGCTAGGATTGATTTAATGCTTAATAAAACTTGATTCAAGCGCAACGTGGCCTTGATTTGAGCATTCTATAAATCGGAATTATCTCACAATATTCTTGTTTCAAGAATTTTGTTCCTGATTAAAAGATTAAATTAAGAGTACCACAGTTTGAAATGATAAAAAATATATTTCCAAACTTGATTTAAGCAAAACTCTCACTTGTTCCAATTCAAAAATAAAATTGATTTAAGAAATGGCGGTGATTGAAATTATCCCAAAGTCATTTAAATTGAGTTTTTCGAGCTGAATTTAAGCTATTTTCCGTGTTTGATATGAAATAAAACAATGGCTGATTTACGTAAAATATAGTTTATTTGATTTTTAAGAGAAATTATAAAGTAATACCAAAAATAAATGAAAAATCATTTTTAAATATATATAATACAAAAAACTCCTCATGTTTACCTAGTTGTTGTGTGTCCTTCACTTGAAATTTTGTGACATATGACTCTTGCCTGGATACATAAGTTCGAAATCAATTTGGATCTGAAAAGATAATACGAAATATAAAATCTATGGTGGTAAATTTATCAAATGAGACTGTAATGAAGACTATGTTAAATAATTGCTAATTTTTTGCAAATAATTATATAAGTTAATGCTTACCAAATCAGCAGTTTCTCATGGAACTCTTTTCCTGTCAACCAATTGTCGACTTTGGATTGCACAGAAATTGTTTCGTCATCGATACCAAACTATAAAATAACATTGAAAAATCAATTTAATTTGCCAAATCATATACTCATTAAATTTTATTACCTGCTATTGAAAAGTTTTGAAAAGTTTTGTTTGAAAAGTTTTTCTCGAAATTCTATTCGAAGACCAAGAGGAGGTATTGCTTCTTTTATATCTTCTGTTTGCATGTATTGCAAACTTCTATACCGCACTTGAGCAGCTAAATAAATAAGGATATAAATTTATTGTTAAACCATAAAGATAATATGGAAATATTGTAATTGAAGAATAATATAAAACACAACTAATGTAAAGCGCAACGACAAATAACGATATCAACAAAATTCTTTAGAACTATCAATGCATTTTGCTACATAACACAAAAATAATGAATACACAAAAAAACTCTACATGACTAACGGTATTTCACAACTCAAAACTGAAAAACATAGTAAGCGACGACCAGGGATACGAATAAATTCAATGAGAACGGAATAGAGCATAAAATTTGGATTTGCTTCAACACTCTCTCTCCTTCCAAAAAATACACAATACAACAGACAATAACAGAGACATTTTGGTTTGCTTTCAACTCGCTCTCTCCACTTAGATTAAGTGTGTTGCACTTACGTTAAGAATTTGTAATACTTAAAATATATGCGCGTTAGAAATGCAAGAAGTATATTCTTGATCTAAGAAATTTTGCGCTTATCTTATCGTTTTGAAGATAGCGCTTTTGTTGCATGGTAATATGTGTATACCAAGTAGGTGTTTGTGTGTACACATATATATTTTATACAAACAGTTTGCGAAAGCAAACAGGCGTTGTTGAGCTTTATGAACATTTTCATAAGAATTTTTCGGAAATACACCGTTATTAAAATGTGTATGTAGAAATAGTCAATATATTTGGAGTAAAATATTACATATGTATAAAAAAACACACGCGCACACTTTTATAAACACTTCAAAATATTCGGATATATATTTTATTTTTTTCGCCATCTTTGTTATACTCACCTTTCAAATAATCAAAGACTGATTCCAATTGAAACTCCTGGAGTAATTTGCGCATACGGGAGTCGTCGTCCACAGGAGGCGTCTCTTTCACAGTTGAAAAAACACATTCACTCATTTTTGGGCACACAGAAAAACAATCAATTCTACCAACCGTCTACTGGCACGCGCAAATCGAACTAATACTGTTTTTCCACAATGTTCTGTATCAAAGCTAGAAATGAACAAACGCAACTAAGAAAAAAATGCAGCCGAGAGAGTTTTTGCATTCCATCATTTTCCTCTCTCAAGGCTTGTTATAAGAATGTTCTTATTTCAAGTGATATTCCGCTTACTTTTCATTAGTATCTGAGAGAGTAAATTTGTTATGTGCTCATTGTTTTTCTCTCAAAGCTTGTTTAAAGAATTTCCTTTTTAATTCAAGTTATATATGACTTACTTTTCATTATTAGAAATTTTTTCTTGAATTAAATACAAATCTTAACTTAATATGAGAAGTCAAGAAATTAATACTTATTCCAATAATTTCCGTACTTGAATTTATAAAACTATCCAAAATTGTACTTATTTTAAGAATAACTAAGTACGAATTTTTCTTAATTTTTTAAGTACGATTTTAGTAAAAACTGAGTGTATTCGGCTTAAATTTGAAGTGCCATTTTTCTATCAGTGTATGCACCAAGAACTTTCAAATCGAAATGGCAGGAACTACGGTTTGATATACATTCAAAAAGTTCACTTAAAATCGTTTTTACTCACTACAGCCTTATCATAGAATAAGGTTAGATTAAACCACAATCCTCAAATACTATAAAGAATGAATAGCCCATCCGGATTTTCCCAAGTTATAGCTCAATTGCAGGATTTCTCATTGCCTCCGCGGAATAAATTTGAAAAGTTGAAGATGGTGCCTTAACCCCCTCTATAGTATTTGTAAATAGAGGATCGACTAAAATTTCTGAATGGTTTACTTTATACTGAGCATATGCCTTCTCGGGCATGGTGTCATGGATTGTTCTAAGGGAACAATCAAAGTCTCCGGGGATGAAGGAAATGCAAATGTGATAGTTTTGTGCCGTTCGTGAACGACCTAGTTCAATTGAATTCAGTTTTTATTATTGTCGTTCACTGAATAATTTTGTTTACCAAACGCAGTCGGTCTCTGAACGACGTTGCTCAATGAATGACTCACTCGTTCAGTGGACTGACTCGTTCAATTGAACCACGTCGTTCACGAACGGCACAAGACGAATTCTAAACTATTATACTGAAGAATGCTGGTCACAGTTACGCATATTACCATTCCAATGAAATTTGTGGAAGAAAATTGCCCACACAAATCCGAGAATACAAGTTGTTCGGTCCCCGTTGTTCGGCGTAGGCCATTTGGTGTACACGGTGTCATTTCTGTTCACATTTGCATCTCGTATGACCTCTTCCAGGAGGATTTTAAGCAGATCACACGACAAAATGTCACCTTGTCTGAATCCTCGTTCGGCATTGAGGGAGATAAGAAAACTTCTGATCGATTTCAATGTAAAATTCAGCACCTTGAAACATCTACTGTAATTATGCTGAATGTAATATTTTCCCCCACTCCATTTTATGGATTAAAGCGCATTTAGACAATAGCTTTTATCGTGCATCCAAGAATAAAATATATATTTATTACACAGTCTTATCTACGTCCTTCTGCTATTTTTACTGGAGTTCTTTGTTATTTTGACCCAAATCAAATGTTCTGCAGCCAGTTTAACGCACAAAGAAAAATTTCGCTATCACAAAGATAACACGAAATCTAAAATAAAAAATATATTGGTCAAATATTCAGTTCAATTTTTAAACATTTTTTTCTATTTAAAAGTCCAACATTCGTTGAAAATTTAGCTCCGTTTTCTTTGTGAATTTATTGTAAACAGAATGAAAATCGCTACTGTAATATTTTTTACATTCTGCGCGGTGGCAGGACTTTTGTCTCCAGCTAATGCCGATCTAACGCTGCAACGTGGAATTCAAGGTGGTGAATTTTACATTGAAATCAATCAGAAGGTAGGATTTAATTTCGAGTGTACAACTCGGATTTAAATGACATATGACCTACAGTACATATGTCGGCAATAATCTCACTTCCCACTTCTCTTCCCCATTTATCTTCTCTTTCTTTAGTACAATTGGTTTCAAGCATCCCACGAATGTGCTCGCAAAGGCTTGAGACTCGTTGAAATACCAGACGCCGTCAAGAATGCGGAATTAATCAGTGCACTGAGGACATATGTTGGTATGTAAAACGAGACTTGGTCACACCATTTTCAAATTAAATTTTTTTCATTTTCACACTATTTCAATTCAGGAAATGCCAAAAATTTTTGGATAGGAGCAAATGATGAATATAATACAGCCAACGATTTACAACGTCCTTTCTATTGGTCGTCGTCTGGCGAGCGTGTAACATTTACAAATTGGGCAAAAGGCGAACCGAACAATCATCAAAACAATGAACACTGTGTACACATATGGTCAATAGGAAACAACTTCGAATGGAACGATTTTCCTTGTATTGTTAAAATGGGATTTATATGTGAAAAATCAAATTAAATGTTCAATATATTCTACAATTTTTAATTCATTTTTATATTAGAAGTTTTAGAAAATACTTGACAATTATTTTGAAAGTAATATTTTAGGCTAAAATATGATTCCAAAATTATGGCATATAAAAACAGAACACTTGCACCTTATAGCGGTGAAAGGGAAATTAGTTCATAATATTCCCAAAGGAATTGAAACCTTTTTCCGAATCTAGTGCATTTTCTAACAATGAAAGTATCCGCGGTCGAAGGAAATGCAAATGTTATAGTCTTGTGTAGTTTGAGAACGACCTAGTTCAATTGAACGAATCAGTCCACTGAACGAGTGAACGACATAGTTCAGTTTTTATTATTATCGTTCACTGAACTCAGTCGGCCTCTGAACGACGTTGCTCACTGAACTGACTGCTCGATGAGCGCCGTCGGTCACTGAACGACATTGTATTTTCTTCTACACCTTGAGTTTTGTTCACAGATCCCCTACCTTGACCAACTGAACGGCTTCAAATAAGAACAATTTCATATAAAATCTGTTAAATTGAATGAAGGTGAGTGTAATATATGTTTGTCCGATTTCATGGAATGCGATGCTTAAAAGACCAAATGCTGCAGTAGTGTTTTACGTGTAGCTGGAGGGTCAGTAAAAAATATGAAGCGACATTTAAAAGCAAAGCACCCCCGTTGACAACCGTGGAGCTGGAAACCACGGAAAATAGACAAAGGTGTCCGGAACAACAACTGCACCGAAAACAAGTGTACAGCCGAATATAACCATACCATTATGAATTTCTTGTCCCGATAAACCTTTTTTTATGTAAATATGCGACTTTTTGGACACCTGTTTCTATATGGCCCATAGATCTTCCGGAGAATTTTTCTGCCAAACTCTCCAAAAGCTTTCTCACCTGCTTGCGCAAGTACCCATGCTTCAGATCCATACAACAACACCGGAAATATCAGCGTCTTGTAGAGTGTGAGTAATCATACTTCTGCTGATTTGGAAATATGTTATTTTTAAAATCTTCCCCTCCAAATCCAATAAAGCATTGCATGAATAATTGCAACATATCTTGAATTGTTTTAGCATACAAAACAAAACAATTCGATATTGTTTGTTTTTTATCAAGATAAGAAAAAAATATTTGATTTAATTTTACCGCAGGAGGCAAGCAAGTACACTGAAAAGGCTAATGTCCGATACAAAATAAACTCAGTTTTCTTTGAAAATCAATCGGAAACAGAATGAAAATCGCTACTGTAATCGTTTTGACATTCTGCATAATGACAATACCTTTGCCACCTGCTGGAGCTGTTCTAAGACTGCAGCCTGTATTTCAAGGTAGTGAATTTTACATCGAAGTAGATCAGAAGGTAGGTTTACATTTCAAGCATAGAAGCCTATCGATTAATATATTTGGGGAGAATATACTTTTCCATCTTATAAATGGAATAACCACTTTTTTGTTAGGAGCTAATAAACCGAATACTCTTAACAACAATGAACACTGTGTACACATATTGACATATGCAAAAAATGTCGGATGGAATGATAAGCCTTGTACTGTGAATATGGGATTTATGTGAGAAAAGATAACCAATTGAGTTTAAATTAATATAATATTGTTTTAAAGTTATGATGATTTAAGTACATTATTCGAAATTTGCCTGAAGTTCCAATTCTAGTCACTCGTTAGATTTTGCTACTACCTTTTGCCTTAAGTACGTGTTCAAAACACTTTGAACAGAATTTTGTGTTACATAAGATTTGATCGCTGGAGGGTTTTAAGATAAGTCAATACGTCTGACTATGACGATCTCCGAGAATAGATGGTATAGCTCATGGTGTAGTATAGTATAGGCGATATTCACCGTCGACGCAGATCGGTCCATAGATCTTCCGGAGAATTTTTCCCTCAAACACTCCAAGAGCTGTCCAACTGCTTGCTCTCAAATACCCATGCTTCAGATCCATATAACAGCAGGGGTAATATCAGCGTCTTGTAGAGTCTGAGTTTAGTCTGGCGAGATGTGGCCTTGTTTCTAAACTGCTTACTTAGACCATAGTAGCATCTGTTGGCCATCACAATCCTTCTCCGAATTTCAAAACTGATGCCATTCATTTTATTTATGGCGGTACCAAGGAATATAAAAGCTTTAACTACCTCGAAGCTGTTCCACAGTTTTTCCGAGTCTACGGAACAACTTGTGCGTTCATACCATCAGTTTGGTCTTCACGCCGTTTACTGCCAGACCCACTTTGGCAGATTCCTTCTCAATTTGTTCAAAGGTAGCTGTTACTACTCGCAATTTTCGACCCATTCTGTCGATGTCGCGGGCGTAGGCGAGTAACATATGCCGTTTGGTGTACATAGTGCCATTTCTGTTCACATTTGCATGTCGTATGCCCTTTTCCAGCAGGATGTTGAACAGGTCACACGACATACCTTGTCTGAATCCTTCTTCGGTATTGAATGGCTCCGAGAGCTCCTTTCCTACTTTAACAGCTGACATTGTACCACTTAAAGATATCCTGCATAGCCGAGTATAAATAGTTTACTGATAAGTGTTTTGTGTTTTTCAGATTAGGTTAAGACCTTTGTATTTATATCAGTAGTATTAAGGTATGTACTCGTATATATGACAGTTATTCTAGCATATTTTCAGGGATACACAAAGTCTAATAGTGTTTAGTGATACAATTGTAAACACTAGAGGGCGCAAACGTCGCGAGATATTTTCCATACTATGGAATTAATTTAAATATTCTTCTCCATAGAAAAAATAATATCTTGAAGTACTAATTTTGAATTGTAAGTGGATTTTGATTGGTCAAATGAAACGAAAATTAATAGATTCGGGTCAAATGGGAAGCAATGTCCACTGTGGTGTAACGTGGTTTTCTCGTCGATTGAGATTAGCCCAGTTGTGTCCATGATTTCGGGTGACTTAATGTAACTGGTGATTATTGGGAGCTGTAATAATAGCTAATGCTTAATTTCGCGGAAACCGGCTTGGAGTGCGGCTTGGAGGGCTATTTTACAAGATTCGTATATTCCCAGTCTATACATATTCGGTTTGGAACCACGACAGGATAATATATTTATGAAAGGCAACGACCCCACTACTAATATAATCTGCTTCAATTTCTACAAAATAGATTGAAGAAAATGATATCAATTCTCAATCATCGGATTTTAAGCCGATAGAACACCTTTAGTCATTAATTTTAAAAAGAACGATTTTGATATTAAAGGGCTCCGATATCCCTTTAATATCGAACGAGGATTCAGACAAGGTTACAGTTTGTCATGTAGGTTTTTTGACATCCTGCTCGAAAGATTATACGAGAGGCAAAGATGAACAGAAATGGGACTCTGTACACCAAACAACAAATGTTTCTCGCCTACGCCGATGACATCGATATAATGGGTCGAACATTGCGAGTCTCTGCCCAAGTGGTTCTGGCAGTAAATGGCGAGAAGACCAAGACGTCCAGTAGACTTGGACCAACTGTGGAACTTGAGAACTACACTTCTAGGTAGTCAAAGATTTTATATACCTTGGTACCGCCATAAATAAAACTAATGACATCAGTTTTTGAATTCGGAGAGGAATATTGTTGTGTCGTGATGTTTTATTAATCTGAAGCATGGGTACTTGTGCAAGCAGATGAGGCAACTCTTCGAGTGTTTGAAAGAAAAATTTTCCGATTTATGGGCCGATCTGCGTCGACGGTTAATATCGCCGTCGAATGAAACATGAGGTGTACTATCGTTTGTCGTAAATTCTGTAAAAAAAACTAAGATCACCGAATTCTTTTTAAAAAGCATGATCAAATTAATATGATGTACATTATATCAGGATTCAGTCCATAAAATTGCTTAAAAAAGAATAGTTGTGGACTATAGGCGAAAACCACTGTAGCATGAGAGACATTGAAGGCTGCGATAAGGCCCCACTGCTGCAGTTTATTTCCCAAGTAGATGGATTGTATCGGTCTCTCATCACAGTCATAAACCACATTATTTACGTGCCATAATTTTCAACCATTATTAACGTCTAATCCATCGTATCCACTGTACAATTTCAAAAATTTATTGAGCAAATAAAGATTATACTTTGGGAGTAAAAACTAATCTGGTATTTTGCACAATAATCGAAATCATCGAATTAATGGCATAATAGTTAAAAATTGAAGTTGAAATTCCGATTTTCCATTACACCGATTACGGACACGTTCCTGACCCGTATTTCGATTTTACTTTTATTTTATTGTCAGTTATTCCCTTTTAAATTCAAAACTTTTTGCAGAAACAAATTTTATGATTTTTTTACATATTACGAAGTGTATCGTATGCTCAAAATATCGAAATTTGAGGGTACCGTAATATGGGTGCTACCAAAACATTGAAGCAAATTTGATAATTTTTAGCAAGAATATTTTGTTGCCAATTAGAATCTTACTTACATAGCTGGCTTGTGACAGAACATTGTTCCATAAGACGAGCTTAAAAAAGATTTCCAAGCGCGTCGGTCGTCTTCCTGATATCAGAGCCAGTTTCGTCTACCTTCGTCAGTGGATTCTCGTGGCAGTGTTCTGTGACGTTGATTTGACTCAGCTTTCTTTTCGGTGGATGGGAAGCGTTTTTCTTTTTGGCGGATTTGACAGTCGTCTGATCATCCGGAGATGTTAGTCGCTTCCGCAGAAGTGGAGGAAAGGTCAGGCTTATCCTTTTGAGCCGCTGTCTGCATCTCGCACTTTTTGTTCATCCGGTTCATTCTGGCCACTTCCGCCTTTCTACCCCAGACAACTGATTGTGAGTTTAGTGATATCTTTACTCACTTCCTCTATCATCTTGTCAGCCTCTTCTCAGCCTCTTCTCTCTTCCGTGTAAATCCAATTAAATGTTCATATTAATGGTCAATTTGTTTAATTATTTGTTTAATACCGGGGAAAGGGAAATTAGTTATTGAGTTAACTAGTCTTGGGCAATCTCGTTCAGTTGA